GGGGCAGACTTAGACATCAATTTTTGCATAGAATCAATTCAGGATTCTCTTTTTCTTGACTATACTTTTTTGTTAGAAGGGTTTTGTTTTTTATTCTTTTTCAATGAGGGAAAGGGAAGTGAGGAGAGAAGATGGATATCATTAATTGAAAAATTCAAATATATTTTCCTAAAAACCAAATTTGTGTTATGTAATCTCAGCTGTGCCCTCAATGCAGTAAGATAATATTTTTACTAATTCACAATTCTTTCTATATCCCATTTCCTACAGTAGGTATTGCAAACCTTTACTTCTCTCAAACTTCCCACATACTTCTTACCATATCTGAAGACCTTGCTTCAAATTTCCTGAGAAAATTCAAATTATTCCACATTGACTCTCTCCTCCTGTTCTCAACCTCTCTAATTTCTTGACATCTTTCTCCACACTCCCTTCCTTTTTTCATCCTCTGATGAAAAGGTAACCCTTCTCCATACCAAGACCAACCTAAAATTTTAAACCCCATCCCTTCCCCCCTTTCCAGCAGATAGCCACCACAGTCATGTTCTCGTTCTCTCTCTCTCCTCTCTCTCTCTCTCTCTCTCTTCTCTCTCTCTCTCTCTCTCTCTTCTCTCTCTCTCTCTCTCTCTCTCTCTCTCTCTTCTCTCTCTCTCTTTCTCATACTATCCTGTTGCTTATAAATATGCACAGATTTTCCTTATCTTTAAAAAATATCTAGAGGTGGAGCCAAGATGGCAGAATAAAGGCAGGGATTCACCTGAGCTCTACCCCCAACCCCTCCAAATATCCTAAATTAATGATTTTAAACAAATTCTGAAATTGGAAAGAGAAATGAGAGTGATGCAAGAAAATCATGAAAAATGAGTCAACAGCTTGGGAAAGGAGATACATGCAAAAAAATACTGAAGAAAAAATACAGACTAGGCCAAATGGTAAAATAGGTACAAAAAGCCAATGAGGAGAAGAGGGCCTTAACAAGTAGAATTTGCCAAGTGGAAAAAGAGGCACAAAAATTCACTGAAGGGAGAAAACTCCTTAAAAAGTCAAATTGACCAAATGGAAAAGGAGGTACAAAAGCTCATTCAAGAAAATAATTCCTTTAAAATTAGAATTGAAGAAATGGAAATTAATAACTTTATGAGAAATCAAGAAACAGTAAAACAAAACCAAAAGAATGGAAAAATAGAAGACAGTGTGAAATATCTTATTGGAAAAACAACTGACCTGGAAAACAGATCCAGGAGAGAGAATTTTAAAAATTTTGGGCTACCTCAAAGCCATGATCATAAAAAAGAGCCTAAACATCATTTTTCAAGAAATTACCAAGGAAAACTTCCCTGATATTCTAGAACCAGACAGTGAAAGAGAAATTGAAAGAATCCACTGAACACCTCCTGAAAGAGGGCCCAAAATGAAAACTTCCAAAAATATTATAGCCAAATTCCAGAGTTCCTAGGTCTAGGAGAAAATATTGCAAGCAGGCAGAAAGAAACAATTCAAGTATCATGGAGTGACAGTAAAGATAACATAAGATTTAGCAGCTTCTATATGAAAGGATCAGAGGGCTTGGAATATGATACTCCAGAGGGCAAAGGAGCTAGGATTACAACCAAGAATCACCTACCCAGCAAAACTGAATATGATTTTTTGGGGGAAAATGGACATCCAAGGAAATAGAGGACTTTCAAGCATTCTTGATCAAAAGATCAGAACTGAATAGAAAATTTGAACTTGAAATACAAGACTTGAGAAGCAAAAAAGGTAAATAAGAAAGTGAAATCATAAAGGACTTAATAAGATTAAACTATTTGCATTCCCACATGGGAAGATGGTACTTGTAACTCATAGGAACTTTCTCATTATTAGGGCAGATAGAAGAAGTATATAGAGACAGAGGGCATAGATGTGAGTTGAATATGAAGGGATGATATCTAAAAAATAAATAAAATTAAGGAATGAGAAAAGAATGCACTTGGAGAAAGGGAAAGGGATAGGTAGAATGTGATAAATTATCACACATAAAAGAGGCAAGAAAAGGCTTTTACAGTGGAGGGGAACAGTGGGTAGGTAAGGGGGACTTAGTCAACCTTATTCTCTTCAGAACTGGTTCAGAGAGAGAATAAAATACACACTCAATTGGGTATAGAAATCTCTCACCTTACAGGAAAGTAGGAGGAGAAGGGGATAAGAGGAAGGGAGAGTGATAGAAGGAAGATTTGGGAGAGGGTAGTCAGAATCAAAACTCTTCTAAGGAGGGACACGGTGAAAAGAGAGAGAGAGAATAGAATAAGGGGAAGAATAGGATGGAGGAAAATAGTTAGCAATAGTAACTCTGAAAAAAATTGAAGCAAGTTTATTTGACAAGGGCCTCATTTCTCAAACATATAGAGAACTGAGTCAAATTTATAAAAATAAGAGCCATTCCACAACTGACTTTCTCTCTCTCATATATATATAATCAATTGCCAAATATTGTTAAGTCTATTTCCAAACTTTTCTTACATTAATCTCCTTCTCTGTTAATTTGGCCACCCCTTACTACAGGCCTTTGTCAATTTTTATTTGGATTATTAGGTGGCACAGTGGATAGAGTGCTGGACCTGGAGATATGAAGATTCATCTTCTTTAGTTCAAATCTGGTCTCAGACACTTACCAGTTCTGTGACACTGGATAAGTCATTTTACACTATTTGTCTCAGTTTCTCCTCTGTAAAAGGAACTGGAGTGCTCACTTCAGCAGCACATATACTAAAAATTGGAACGATACAGAGAAGATTAGCATGGCCCCCGGGCAAGGATGACACGCAAATTCATGAAGCGTTCCATATTTTTTGCCCCCTCTGACACTGGAGAGCATTAAGGACTGTGTCCTCCATGCCTTGAAACTATATGGTAAGATTGATCCAGAAAAGCTTTCAATATCTTCCCACTTCTTGAAAAACCTGGGCTTGGATTGTTTGGACCAAGTAGAAATTATAATGGCCATGGAAGATGAATTCGGGTTTGAAATTCCTGACATAGATGCTGAAAAGTTAATGTGTCCACAAGAGATTGTAGATTACATTGTGGATAAGAAAGATGTGTACCATTAAAGTTTTTTTTTTAAATCAAAGAACTCGGGTGATCCCAGCAAGTGTCTGAGTGTGAGAACACATTATGAGACCATTGCTGCTTTTGTTGGAGTATTTCTGTTGGAACTATATTTAAGTTGTCTAAATATGTGTTGGCCTTTAAAAAATAAATATATAAAATTTAAAAAAAAAAAAGGAACTGGAGATGGAAATGGCAAACCACTCCAGTATCTCTGCCAAGAAATCCCCAAAATGGGGTCACAAAGAGACAGACATGATGGCACAACAATAACAATTTCCTCTAAGGTCAAATACAAACACCTTCATTTGATGTTTAAAACCCTTTACAACCTGTTCTCCCTCTTTAGAGCATTATTATACATAACTGTCATTCAAACACTCTAAAGTCAAGTCATATTTGCCATTCTGTGGTTCTTCCTATTCTACCTTCCATCTCCATCACTTTGCATTGGCTGTCATCTTTGGCTGCAATGCCCTCTCTTGTAGATTCTACCTTTTAGAACCTCCAGTTTCCTGCAAGTCTCAGCTCAACTACTTATGACATCTTTCCAGATCATGTCTGCCAAATGCCAATACTACATCTCCAGAATCATCTTGTATTTCTTGTTTTCAGGTTTATGAGGTATGTATTGTCTCTCCTGTTGGAATGTAAGCTCCTTGAGGGCAAGGACTATTTCGTTTTTCTCTTTTTATTCCCAGTACCTAGAAGAGGGATTGACATGCAATGGATACTTAATAAATGTTTCTTGTTTGCTGATTGATTGATTCATGTATACTATGTGCCTGCCAAACTGTGCTAATCTTTGCCTTCCTCCTCATCCTGCCCTTTCCCCTTTCTTTACTTCACTCCTGAGGTGAGATTAGCCTCTATGCCACCTCTATCTATAAGTCAATTTTTCCTTCAAGGCCTCTCAGGAGCCACCTCCTCCTTGAAGTCTTTCTTGACCCTTTCCCACAACCAGGTAAAAGTGACTTCTCCGTCCTCAGATTTCTCATAATACATTGCCTCGACCTCTCTTTGTCCTTATCTCACATTTGTGTCCATGACTCACTCCCACTTTGATTGTAGCTTCATGAAGGCAAGTATAGAGTCTTCTTTCTTCAGCCCAGACCATAAAGCAAATTGAACAGCAGTATGTTAAAAATGCTCACTGATCTAAAGGGTTTTTTTTTTCAATTGCTCTAAGTAGCCAAAGATGATCCTTATTCAGACTCCTACTTCTCCAACCTTACCCAGGGCAGGGATTGGGATGGAAGGAGAGGGAGGAAATAGTTGTATTAAAACAAAGTCTAGAAGAGGGCAGCTTGATGGTGCTGTGTATAGCATGGTGAGGAAGTATGGAAGTCAGGAAGAGCTGAGTTCAAATCTGGCCTCAGATACTCGCTAACTATCTGACCTTGGGCAAGTCACTTAACTCTCTTTGCCTCAGGTTCCTCACTTGTAAAATGACCTGGAGAAGGAAATGGCAAGCCACTCCAGTATCTTTGCCAAGAAAACTCCAAATGGGGTCACAAAGGATTGGACATGACCACAATGACTGAACAACAGCAACCACAGTGTGGCACGTAATTTGCACATGGTAAGTTCTTCACCAACATATGATCATGAATGGTGAAAGAAAGCCATCAATTGGGAACAGAGAGCAGGGGATTGTACAGGGAGGAAACTCATGTGGTTATGTGACTACAAGGGTAGTTGGGAGGAGCAGGCTTCTATGACTGGGCATTTGGGGATGAGTGACTTTGAAGGGCATGGATTGAGGGACAGAGAATACCCAGAGCAAGTGACCAGGGACTGGGCAAAAGTCATGCTCCTAAGACCCAGGGTTACAGTCTTGTCCCCTCCCTGAAAAGTCATTCCTGATTAATCAGATAGGAAGCCCTTTCCCCAGTTCCTCTGAAAATTACCTTGGAAAAACAGAAGCAAATCTAAATACATTAAAGAAAGCAGGACCAAAAGGACAATAAGGAGCATAAATGATGTTAATACCACAGCCGGTGCCTCAGGTTCATCACCTAAAACACAATTGCACATAAATATCAGAACCAAGGCCCTCATGAGAACCCTTACAGCACCTTTTCTCCCCATCTCCTACTCCCACAGCCCCACTGAGCAGAGGGCAAAGCCACAGATGTGGCCAAATTCTCAGCCCTTCCAGTTGGGATGACTCTCTGCCCCAACCTTTTCACCCTACAGCAGACAATCTCTCACTTCTGTCAGTAGTATTACCATGCCCATAACCCATTTCTACATCCCCAGATCAGGCCATATCACCGGGAGTTAGCCCCATTTGTGAGATACAACATTAGGCTGTATTGGTGACACCATGGAGTACAAGTGGGATAGGGGGCCAATTTTGTGTACTTTTGGGATAGGTTTAGACTTACGGTATCTCAGAGATAAGAGGGAACTCAGAGGCCAATCTTGTTAAACACACACTTGAATCAGAATCTCCACTAAGACTCTCCCTATGAGTGATCATCCAGCCTTTGCTTAAAGACTCAGGAAAAGGTAGCTCACTACCTCCCACAGGGCCCCTTTCATTTTGGTATTGGTCTAATTGTTAAGAAGTTTTTCCATACATCAAGCCTGAATTTGTCCTTTTGCAACTGGTATTCCAAAAGAAGAAAGAAATGTTTGGGATTGTTTTTCACTCAGAGCTACTTTGAAACTAAGAAGACCTGGCTGTGTTATTGCTCATGTTTTTGTAGAGTACTTTCTTTACTTCTTTTAGGTCAAAGAGTCTTGGAGATGGCTAAAATCTGGTGAACTTTAAAAGGCACCATAAGGTTATCTGGGGGCTATAGCCATTACAAATATTTGCCAGAAGTCGTACAGTAAAAGGTGAAGTCCCAAAGAACTTAAATGACCTAGGCCAGTTGTAGGATAGATATAGACTCATCCATCCATAGAAGTCAATTTGGTGGGAACAATGCTATGTAGAAAGTGTTTTAAGTTTGATTCTACTGCCCCAAAGGACTAAGGTGGGACAGGAAAGATCATACCCCAGGTGTTGGGAGGAAATATTTGTAATTATGTTCTTGAAATATTTTAGTAAACATCCCTTTGTAAAGATCTAACTGAAATTAATTCCTTAAATGGAAATAGGGCACCAATCACTAAGAACATAATAGAATGAGAAGTCAAGCTAAAAACCTTAGAAAAAGATGCCTTCGCTGTTCTTCAATGGTACCTTCAGTGGTTCTGAAAAGAGATGAAAGCAGTCTCACTCTAGAAAACTAAGGTGAGAGAATAGCTACATATAAAATAATCATACTTATCATCAGATCATAGATTTACATATCAAGTCCAACCTTCTAACTTTACAGTTCAGGGAACGGAGACATAGAGATGTAAAATCACTTGTGTAGTAATATGCAGCCAGTAAGTGTTTGAGGTAGGACTTGAAATCATTGTTTCTGATACTGGATTCATTTCCCTAGCCACTCTACCCTGAATCTTGGTCCTTTATTAAAAATGTAGAACAAGAAGGAACCTTAAAGACCAACTAATCCAACTCTCTCATTTTACAAATGAGGGACCAGGGCTGTAGAAGTGAAATGACTAGTCTAAGACCACTCATGTACTAAATAGGAGAGCCAGGACTTGAATCCAAGTCCTTTGACACCAAATCCAGTACCATGTTGCCTCCTAAAATTAAAGACATCCTAATGTGATTTGAATACAAGCCAAGGGTGACTCAGTCACAATGCAAAATGCAGTGTCAAAATAGGCTTGATTTTCCTCACTGTGCTCCTACTCCCTGCCCCGAATTCACCTTACCTTAGGGATATCCCAGGCCCCCAGGTTCCTGGGACCAGGGTTTATAGGTTGTCCATATTCCTCAAGGCCCAAAGTGTTCCTTGGCCAGATTAGTTTGAGAAGTACTAGTCTTCCTCATCGTCTATATGTGCTTGATTGCTATGGCCTTGAAAAGTAGAAGCTGAGGGAGGAGCATTGCTATAGAATATGTGTGTGGAGGAAGGAGAGAAAGGAGAGGCATGAAAATGGTGTTCCTCCTTCTCCAACCTCCCTTCACAATTACTTTCCTTTACAGCTTTCTTATTTTTCTCCCACTTTCCTTCTCCTCTCCCTTCTTCTCAGCAAACCTTCCTAAAGAGACCGTTTGGAATTTCTCTCTTTATGTGCTTCCCAAATCTTAGCAATGCCTATCATGCTTTCTGTCCCATGCACCAAGTCTGTTAAGTCGGAGGTCTTTGGAATGGAAAGAATATGGAGATTCCCAGAGAAAAGTTGGCAAATAATTCAAGGGAACCCAAAGGAGGATGACTAGGATGGTGAACGGCTTTGAGCTTGTGCCATAAAGGAAAACTGGTAAAGTTTAGCATCCTCATTCTTCCAGTTTGGTGACTGTCATACCCTGGAGACAAGAAGACTTAGCCAGGGCATGACCATTGTTTGCAGGTCTGAAGAACCAAGCTTTGGAAGATGGATTACATTTGTTCTGATTATCCCTCTGGGACAGAACTAGTAGCAATGAAAGCTGCAGAGAGGATCATTTGAGTTTGATGTCAGCAAAAACTTCATAATGATGACATTTATTCAGAAGTGGAAAGGGCTGCCTTTGCCAGGAAAGTAGTATGACTTCTCATTAGAAGTCTGTAAGTCAAGGCTGGATATTCTATTAAATTCAACAAACATTCATTAATTATTTCCATGTACAAGGTACCAGGTGAGGGGCCAAGAATACAGGCCAAATTAAAATAGATACTTTCTGGGAACATAGAGAGACATCTCTTGATCAGAGAGGTATTGCAGTAGATGGCCTGGGAGGTCCCTTTCAACCAGGACATCCTGTGATTGCAGGAATCACAGAGCTGGTAAGGAAGTCCCAACCCACCCACCCATATATGCACACAAAAATGCCCAGTCCAGGGCCCAGCTCTTCACCTGAGACCTTCAGCTCCACATCAGCTTGCTCTTGGTGAAAACCATTTGCAATGACACATGTGTACTTTCCTGCATCCATGAGTTTCACATCCAGTATCTTCAGTGTGACATTCCCACTTGTCATAGCATCTCTCAACAGCACCGTTCTTCCTTGGTAATCAGAGTGTTGGTCTCCAAGCTGATCCTCTCCATCTCGATAGAGATGCACCACTCGAGTGGACAGTGACCAGATCACTTTCATGTGCTGAGCACTCTGAGGTGGGGACAGGTAACATGGTAACTCTGCCTCTCCCCTAAGTGAGGCCTGGATGGGTCCTGTAGGTCCAATCACTGAGAACTGCCCTGTTCAATCAGGCAGAAAGAGGTCAAAGAGGATAATAGCAGAGGGTAGATGGGGCCAGTTTTTAGTATGTAAAAGGAACAAAATAAAGGAACTTTGAAGTAGGATGGGGAATGAGGAAGTACAGTAGAAGATTTCAGAGAGAAAGAGAGACAGAGAAAGAGAGAGAGAGGTAAAGAAGGAAGGGATAGATTATGAGGATAATGAAAAAACCCTAGCAGGGAGACAATAGGAAAGTTTAGAAAATCCCAAGAAAGGACTAAGAGAATATCAGGTGAATGACTTGGGAAAACATGGAGAGTAGGGCAGGACAGAATCTCTATAGGTTCAACCATCAGCCTTTAGAGCCAGTTTGAGGCCAGAAGAAACAAAATAAACAGAAGCAAACACTTACCTAAGGCAATTTTGGGCATCATGAAGAGGAAGAAGAAGGCAACGAGAGAATTAGAGAGAAAAGCTCCTAAAGGACTGAGAATCTCCATCACATCTGTGAGAGAAAACAAGGGAGGAGGAAGAGGCATTAGTGATAGGGAAGTGGAACAATGTCTGTGACAAGAACACAAGGGCCCACTGACTTGCTGTGACATAGGAGGACCAGTGTATATGATAGGGATACAGGGGGATGTGATAAGAATATAGGTGTTGATTCTCATAAGGACACAATAGTACGGCAAGGACATGAAGGAGCTTTAATATAACAAAGATACCATACTGTCATTATGACAAGGAGAGTGGTGATGGTATCAAAGACATGGAAATGACCTTGTAAGTGGGGGGGGGTGATCACTCACCTTGAAATGATACCAGATCTCCTTTATGGAGGGAGGAGCCCAAGGACCCATTAAGGATTCCCCTCCAATTCAACTTATATTCATTCCTTCTGCCCCATGCACGAAGAGATCCATTCATGCAAAGGAACATCTTAGGTAGGTAGAAACCCAAGAACAGTGGAGGTATCTTGGAAAGAAAAAAAATCAAGAAGGGAATTATTCAGTCTGAGCTCCCCTGTTAAACAGGTATGGGTGGAGGCTCCTGTGTCCCAGGACCCCCTTTAGGAGGAAGACAGGATGCTGTGCTGCTAGTTCTCCCTCCTGATTGTTCCACACAGTGACCAAGGAGCAAAATGTGACATTGGAAGTAAAGGAAAGACTCTCTTAATGAACTCACCTAAAACTCAGGCCACATACTTACTCATCCCAGAAATGGCCCCAAGGTAAATCCTCTACTCTTGGGATTCTAACAGCATGCTCCACTCCCTCTCTTTCTTGTGCATTTGGGCAAAGTGACTCAAGATTGGTTGAGAGATCTATGAGCCCTGTGATCTTTGTCTATGTGGCTTGATTTCTGATTGGAGGAAGAAATAGGAAACAGGCCAAGGAAAAGGAAAGCAAAGGTGAGAAAAAGAAGGCACAGACTTGAACAGTGACTAAGAGACCACCAAAGCCACAAGTACAGGCAGAGAGGGGAGCGGCATGTTGCTCAATTCCCAATACTTACAACCCCAAGAAGCTGCCAAGAGTGGACATGTTGAGTGAAATCATTTTCTCCATGGTTAATCTTAGATTTTATCTTGCTTCTGGGTTGCAGAACTCCCAAGTATTGTATATTCTATCCTCTAAATTAATCTGAATGGCTTCCTCAATTACTCTTTTATGAACTTGGTTTGTTGACTGTATTTCCTCCTATCTGTCAATGTCTTACATAAATAGTATAAGAAAAGCAAGCATTGATTTTGTGTTTTGTATTTGATTTCTCTCTGTTCTGTAACTGCCTACGTTGTGGTTCTTTGTCTCTGAACTTTGTTCAGAAATTCTGCTGGTCTGTAATGAGTCAAGTTTAGAAATCCAGTTCTCCTGCTAGTTGCTGTTCTATTCTTTCCTCAAGGAAATCTGTTGTGCTTGAGAGATGCCAAGCATTGTGCTTGGTGCTAGTGATACAAAGAAAAAACAGAAACAGTATGCCTTCAAAGAGCTTACACTCCAGTGAGCCCAAACTGCTTCCCTAAATAAAAGCCCAATTTTCTTTTAAAATAGTAATATTCCTTTCATGATATTATTTGACAGCAAGTCATGGAACAAGTCTTTGAAGCACTGAAGTTAAGCATTACCCAAAGGTTAATGGAGACACCCATAGGGGTGAGTAGGGATGTGATCAGCACATTAAAAATGAAGAGTGATGTAAAAAAATGCCACGCAAAAGAAACATCTGTGGAGAGAGGATTCTGGGAAGATGGCAGACTAGGTCAGAAAATTACAAGCTCTCAAGATTTTCCCCCACAAAAGACATAAAATAGCACCTCCGGGTGAACAAAGAGTGGGTAAAAATAAATAAGAATAGGGGCACAACAGGGGTCCTTCTAGGACAATCAGAGATTTGAAGAAAAACCCCAGGACAAGGTCCAGTCCCTGTGAAAAGTAAACACTTCTAGGCTAGGGTCCTCTTTAACAACAAGCCACAAACCCTGGGATTAGCAAGATTGAGGGGCTGCCTTGGCCCCAGCCAAAGAAACTTATACCCCTGGGACTGAGAAGTGAGTTGGGCGCCTGAGCCAGGGAAGATCAAGGGAATTTCTGCTGACAAGGAATGCCAGATGCAGCTGTGCTGCAGAGAGCAGGGGGTGAGAAGGAACCAGAACACAGCCGGTGAGTGCAGAAGCAGTGGGGTGGAATGGTCCTGCCTGTGGGCACTTACACTTACAGGAGGCTGGAAGTTTGACTTTGATTCCAGTCTGGAGGGGAGAACTGAAGATCTGAGGCAAGAGGCAACATCCCTCATACTCCAGAACTAGAGATGATTACAAAAATTAAGTTACTAACACCAAAAATGCACAGGCAAAGGACAAGGAATCCAACCACAGAAAATGATTTTGAAATAAAGATCAGATATTGAACTGGGATATTGAATAAAGAAAAGGATATTGAAATAAAGAAACTTTCTTCTACCCCAAAGAGTAATGTCAAATGGTCACCTCCCCAAAAAGAATTTATAGAAGAACTTAATAGGGACTTTAAAAATCAAAGGAGAGAGATTGAGGAAAAACTAAAAACAAACAAACAAACAAACAAACAAACAAATAAATAAATAAATAAATAAATAAATAAATAAATAAATAAATAAAGACAATCCAAGAAAAACAAGATGATTATCAAAGGAAATTCAACCAATTAGAAAAGGAGACCCAGAATCTTAAGGAAGAAAATGACACATTGAAAATTAGAAGTGGATAAGGGGAAGCCAGCAAAGTTAAAAGGGACCAAGAAATAATCAAACAAAATATACAGAGTGGAAAAAATAGAAGAGAAAGAGAAACATCTCATAAGAAAACAACTGATCTGGAGAACAGATCAAGAAGAGAAAACATAAAAATAATCAGAGTACAGAGAATCTTGATACCATAATACAAGAGATACTTAAAGAAAATTGTCCTGAAGCATTAGAACAAGAGGGAAAAGTAGAAATAGAAAAAATAAATCCATTGATCACCATGTGAAAGAGACCCTATAAGGAAAACTCATAGGAACATTATAGCTAAATTCAGAAACCTCCAGCTCAAAGATAAAATAACAAACAGCAGCAAGAAGAAAACAAATTAAATATGGCAGTGCCACAGTTAGAATCACACAAGACCTAGCAGGGGTAACCCTAAATGACCACAGGTCTTGGAACACTATATATCAAAGAGCAAAACAACTGGGACTGTGGCCAAAAAAACCATACCCAGCAAAGTTCAGCGTAATTCTGAATGAAAAAGAAAAAATTGACATTTGATCAACTGTTAGACTTTCAGGACTTTGTTTAAAAAAATACCTCAACTTAATAGACTATTGACATACAAGAGCCAAGAGAAACATAACAAAGTCCAACTACAAGTAACTCAGTGATGGGCAAACTGTTTACCTTTTATGTATGTAAAATGTATGTCTAAGAATGTGATTAGTAATTGGATAGTTCATAAGAAAGATTGGGATAGACCTCAGTATGATAATGACTTTAAAAAGTAAAAAGGTATAGGAATAGCTAAAATGAGTAATTATCACATACAAATGGGCATCAAGTGGAGGAAACTACACAGAGGAATTGGATGGGGGAGGAGGGCAAGTAGTTCTGGTAACTTACTTTTCTCAGGAATGGGTTAAAGAGGGAACAATACATATATATGAGTATAAAACTCTTCTAAATGGAGAAGAAATAAAATGGTAAGGGGATAGGAAGGAGGGAAAGGATAAGGGAGGAATTTCTAGTGGGGAGGGTGAAGGAATAGGTAAAAGTGGGGTATAGAATGGTGTTTAGATTTATGGGCTTGAGAAGATAGCAGAGGGAGCCTTGGAGGGGGGTAGGCTTAGCAACAGGAGGTCAAGGCAGCAAGTAGAAGTAAAAAAGAGGAGTCAGGAGGGATAGGAAATAAGAGATATTCAGAACCATAAAAACAGAGATCAGGAACAGAATTTGTTAGGGAAAGTATATGTGTATATATATATATATATATATATATATATATATGTATATATATATATATATACATATATATATGTATATGTATATGTATGTATATATATATGTATGTATGTACGTAGCTGGGGGAAAGAAAGGGGAAAAAGAACAAAGTGAACAGAAACTTACAAGGAAGCAAAGGAAAGATGGACAACTCAACATAATGTGTATTACAGGCTTTCTTGATATAAAAATTTATTGCTATATATTTTTAATCCTTTCTTCTGCTGTGCACATGACATGCTTTTTTTTCTTACTTTGAATTTAAGTTTCAATATTTAAGGTTACAATATGTTTCTTTTTCTTTTCTCTATTGTGTATTTGAGTTTTGGTGTTTTAGTCCAAAATAAAATTTGAAAAAATAAAGAAAAGAAAAGAAACATCTATGATTGAAAAGAAGGCTGACTAATCTTGTAGGGATATAAAGTATAGCAGCGGTGTGGTGGTGTGGTCTGAGTGGAATCTTTGCTGGTTTGGGCAAGGTTGTCCCTCTCTTTTACCTGTCCTCTCTACTTTTGTATAGGTGGAACTACTCCTACCCTTGGACAGGAGTCTCATTCTTATCTCCCTACTATCTCAGGTAGTATCTGAGATATTCTATATCTCAAATCCTCTCAACTCATCAGCAGTACTTTTTCTTTCTAAGTAACCATGGAAAACAATGGGAAGGAAACTGGTGCAAGTTCCATTTCTAATTAGTTGCTGGGCAACCCTATCCACCACTTCTGATTCATTCATTCATTAATTATCAAGAGTAATTTAGATATATCTTCTCTCTATGCATTGGGAAGCTATAAAAATGGATCAGAAACAGCTAGGTTTATAGAAATTGGACCTGGAGTCAAGAAGATTTGAATTCAAATTTGGCCCCAGACACTTAACCAGATGTAGCCATTTGCCAATGTTAAGTTAAAGTAAATAGATCTAGCACAGTGACTAGCTTTGTCCTACATGACAAGAATATAAGGTTCAAAGACCTGAACCAATCCCTATCCTTTACCTGCCATAGCAATTTGCTGTGAGCTCTTTGCCCTGGGGTCGCCTAATTTCCCGATAAGTGAAATAAGCAAATAATTGGGAATTAGACAGAGAGTGACAAGGACTTTCTGATCTAATGCTAGAGTCAAGTCTTTGGCATAAATGCAGCCCTCGTTTGCTAAGAAAAAACCAGATGTTGTCCTGAAAACATGAGTGAATCAAAGTGGTTTTGGTTCTCTATTCCAAAGAGTTTTCTGCTTGGAGGGAGGGTTCTCCTTCTGGAAATTTTGGTCTTAGCCAAGACTCTTGGAAATAGGTAGGTCCCTTCCTAAGAGGGAATAGGAGGAAGTAGAATGAGTCCATCAATGGCTTTTCCCCTTGGTCCAATGACTGGACTTGTTAGAGGTTTTGCCTTCTTCCAAATGAACAGCAAAGGCCTTTGGACTTCAAATGAAAGGAGCAATGGTGGAGTCCCCCTTCTCCAATAA